TCGGGTAATAAATTAAATATTAGCGGAGATGGTAAAAATGGGGACCTGTTTAGTTACTTTTCACCAACCCGGTATGTAATTATTTTTAATTTGGGCCCATATTTGCACTTTCCGGGCCCTTATTTGTAAATTCCCCTTTAATTTATTCTTATTCACGTTGACATAGCTTATGATCTATTCATTCTTATTTAATTTCTTTTTATTTATAGTTAATAGTCGTTTATCAAAATATTACAATACTGTAATTTACAGTATAGTCGAAGTACTTAAACTAAACATGTTCATTTAATTTGTATTAAATTAATCTACTGCATAATAAGATTATTTTATTACTGTATTATGCTAGTATTAGAGATCAACTAAAATAATCTATTCATGCTCATAGATATTTACTGTAGAGGTGGAAACAACAATTATACGACAACAAATTTCTTTTCCAGAGTTAATGTCACTCGCACAGTAACAGCTCATGCGAATGACATTAACTTCATTGAAAAAATGGAAATCGCTATTTTTCTTCATTTACCAAGATTGTGCACTTAAATAATTACTTGACGGATATATCGCATATCGATACTAAAAATTAGTGTGAAAAAGTAATCAGTTGAAGGGTAAAGTAATCGGTTAGACGCAAATTCATCATGTGATTTTATCTAGCTGTCAAGTTATAATTAACTCTTTTCTTTTTTAGGTTTTCGTTCCTGATTTGCGCGATAACGTCTCGCAGCTATCTAGTTTAATCCGAAAAAAAATCTTTATTTGTTACAAAATGGAAGTTTCACATGATTTTATCAATTAATTTATAACGAGTGTAATGCAATTTGGAAAATATATAGATCGCTAAATTGATATGAATAAACTGAATCTAATGAAAAATTTAAGAGTACAATGACTATTAAAAATTGCACATATGGGTGGTTTATCACCCCTTCCAAACTAATAATTAATCTTTGAAAGATAGATCCAATTGAGATCGTCAAAATCTAGTCTACTTCAAATCTAAGACATCAACCAATCAGATAAATGTCTTTCTGAAACTAGTAATTTAATAGGAAGAGACATTTTCGCTCATACATAATTAGAGACAGGTTTAGTAAAAGAATGAAATTATGAAAATAATGAAGATATTAGTGATAATTTAAATAGTGCAGAAATTTTGTGAAAATTTAAATAACATGGAGATTGAATATGTGATGGGGAATTTACCTATTCACTTTATAAAACATGTTTCTAAAATTTATAAAGTAAAAAAATAAAACTTTAATAAAATTTTTATTTATAATTAGAATAGTTTTGTTAATAGTTTGCCAAACGCAGTAATTTCGTCAACGGTTTTGTCAATCGCAATCAGTTTCACCAATCGCCAAAGTTCGTCAGACGAGACGATTGACGAAATTATTGCAAGAATAATTCCGTCAGGCATAATTAATGTGTGTTAAGTGGAACAATTTAGAATGTTGTGTTTAATAAAACTTTAACGTGCTATACCCATTTATCAAGCTTTGATGACTTTTGCGGTGGTATTTATTTTTAAAAATAAATAAATAACATTGCAAAATCGCCAGCATTGGCTTTAATGTATAAAAGCAACAGAAATAAATAATTTGAAGTGTATATTCCTTCAAACTTGAATATTATAACCATTCCATTCCATTTTTTTTTCTACTTAACTTTTTATATTTTTAACTACACAACTATTTACAATATTGTTAAGTTTAAACATACATCACAACTAAAGCACTTTCATGTAAATTTTCACGTTATATCTGTTGTACCCAAAGCGTTTTACTGTATTTCATAATCTTACATATAAATCTGGTTTAACTATATCATAATTTATAAAAAATTGATAAATTTGAAAAGATTTTTGTTTAAAAAAAAAAGGATTTATTTGAAATATTTTGTATATTAAGCTGTACCGCCAAATTTAGATTTTCATTTTCATTATTATATACTACGTTTACCATAAATAGCCGGATAAAATACCCCCTTTATAGTAGACAAACCATATACAATAGCAGGTTTTGAGGGAGGAAAAACATTAGCTGTGGCACCCTGCAAGAACACTACTCTGGATTCTTCGAATCTTATAGAAAATAATATTGGTTCTGAAGGTGAAAAGACTTTGGCAAAGGCTCCTTGCAAGAACAGAGCCTTGACCTCTTTCGATCTTAGATTAAATGAACTTGGTCCTGAAGCGGAAAGGCTTTGGCAGAGGCTCTTGGCAAAAACACCACTTTGACTTCTTTAATCTTGAATGTAATCGACTTGATTTTAAAAGGGGAAAGTCATTTGCAAACGTCCTTTGTATGAATACTACACCTTTTTTTGAATATTAGATGGAACGATCTTGGGTCTGAAGTAGGAAAAAAACTATTAGAGGCTCTTCATAAAAACACTACTTTGACGTTTTTAGATCTTGAAATAATTACTTTGATTTTGAAACACAAAAGTTATTAAAAGTTTTAGTAAATCACAATGTTAAAACTCTGGATTTTGAAAATAGTATTGAATCAAAAATAATACCTAAATCACACTCAGGATAATAAAGCATCTGTCAAGTGAGTATAAGTTTTGTTAAATAAAATATATAATTTCTAATTTTGCTACTTCGAAATGAAAATAGCCCTGAAATTATTTAGTAAGTTTAGGCAAGTTTAAACTTCAAACACTTAAAAGTTACAACTCCAAGCAGATACTAGCTTCAAGCCAATATTGATATGATATACTTCCTACATATATTTGCTAATACGCAAATTGCCCACGATAAACACTTCTCAGTACTGACGAAAACACTAATTGCTGTGTGTAAAATATTAAAGTGTTGGCGTTATCGTACAGTACGAATCATTATTTGCTGGATATATTTTAAGGTCATGAATACAGATGTTTGCATAACGATAACTTTACAATCACTGAACAATGATATATAAAAAAATATATCACCGATTTAAAAACAAGGCTCAATATTTGCCATTAAATTATAACTATCTTTTATTTGTTCAATTAAACCAAATAGGGATTCTCTCATCCACATTAAATATTCTGATCCCGTTGTCAACATTGATGATGAGACTAGAGTTTAAAATAATATTCCCGAGTTCATATCAGTGAATTCAACCATCTCTCAAAAACCTTCACTTATCGCATACTCTGAAGCTGAAAAATTATTCTCACAACTTAAAGAACGCAAAGATGATATCGATCGTATAATATTCGCAAAACGTATATGCTGTGGGTCCTGACTTTCAGATTGATTATTCCATACCATATATTACTTGTTGGGTTGCTAAACCCCTTGAATTATCAGTTATGAAACAGCTTTCTGAATTGTTTGATAATAAATTTGATATTGTATTTAAAATAATAGAGGTTTTAGACATAAATATCGGTTGCAACGATCACAATGAAAGTTCAAATGAAACATCTAATAGAAATGATAACGTTAGTAATGTCCTTAGTAATAATTCTTCAAAAATTACAAAAATCCGGAGGGAAATGAAAAATCATCAACAGTCCTAAGGAGGGCTATGGTAATTAATGATGGCATTGGTCATGACAGCGACGATGATTATGATAATGACGATGGTGATGATGATTATGATAATGACGATGGTGATTATGATAATGACGATGGTGATGATGATGATGATAACGATGGTGATGATGGTAAGGTTAATGCAAAATGTAATGGAAATTGAGGACAAAAATTCCAATTTTTTAATATTACTGTCCATCTGTGGGCAAGTATAAATATTGACTCCGAATATAAAAATAAGAAAACTTTGGAATTTAAGGTTTATTTGAAAAATTGCAGCGTGGAAAAACTTCTCAGTGATCAAAGTTCATTGCTTAACGGGTTTGTTTGTTATTATATTGATTCGTTAGAAATCTGTGTCTTTCCAAAAAAAAAATTCATCCAAGTCTGATAACAGAGCACCTAAACAATCTAAGTCAAACAACGATAAACCATCTAAGTTTAATGCTGATGATGAATCACTTGAATCTGATGATGAGATATTTGAGTCCGATTATGAAATTCCATGATTACGTTGAAAGAAGACCATACCTCATCTAAAGCCATTAATTCTATAAACATTTCAAGAATCAAAGAGAATAATTATAGCATTCAAATGGATATGGGCAATGTATGAAAACATCGTTTAATCACAGTAAAGTAAATAGTCAAAGTTCAACAGCAACACTAAAGGAATCGATGATATATATGGTCCGACCAATGGTGTGAATGGCCATATCAATTTATTGGTGGGGATGAAATCAATGCTAGAGACCATAGGAAAAATATTCATATAGACGGACCTCATTGTGGTCATTGGTATATTACGAAAGTTGTAGTGAAAAACGAAATATTTTCAGAAGACTTACTTCTAAGACTCCAGAGCTAACAAAACAATATCCTAAGCTTATTCACAAACTTAGATCTTTTTTAATGATATCACAAGCTTCAATAATAACTTTGCAATCCTGGTAAAAGAGTTATACTATCGACCATATCTCACACTAAAAAAGCAAACTCAAGTACGAAAAAAGAATAATGCTGATTTCAAAGGTGAATTATCAGCCAAGAAAAGTTAGCAATGTGAAATGTAAACAGATCGAGTGCTGAAAAAATTTCTTGCAAAATATTTGTCAAATATAATTATTTTATTTTTGTTATAATAGTATTGCTTTATATATTTTTGTTATAATAGTATTGCTTTATATATTTCTATTCTATAAAGCATTAAAAACATGCTATTTATGACAATAATATGCCAAATTTACCGGGTTGGTGAAAAGTAACTAAACAGGTCACCATTTTTTACCATCTCCGCTAATATTTATTTATTACCCGAGTTTGTGTAATAATTAAAAAATAATAAATTAAATATTAGCGGAGATGGTAAAAATGGGGATCTGTTTAGTTACTTTTCACCAACCCGGTATAACCTAGAGACAATTAATTATATGTAACCATATTATTTATAATAATTGACTCAACTAATCGAGTAAAAATATTTTATCAATTCAGATAAGGCCATGCAAAATTAATTAATTGGTTTTCATAACCCGGCCGGGTCAAAATTTGAAATCTTGTAAAAAAATTTTTATATGTTTTAATAACCGGGTAGGCTTTTTAAAAAAATTTTATAAAATTTTTATACATGAAATTTTTAAAAAAAAAGCCGGCCAGCCGGGTCTTTTTAAAAGTTTCATGTTATGAAAACCAAGATATTAAATTTATGCGGCCTAATTAATGCTATGAATATATTTACTCCTAAATAATTGTTTGCAAACTAAGGTGGGGAGCGGGGCCGACCCACGGGCCTAAACGGGCTTTTTTTGGAAGTTAATTTGGGCCACGTTCCAAGGTGTTGGTCACATGATAATTTACCATGTGACCAACACTTTGAAGGTGTGGCCAAATTAGCTTCCAAAAAGGATCATTTGCCCACCGTTCCTCATCTTATTGCTAAGATAATAAACATAAATATTTAAATTCCTAAATTAATATAAAAAAAATACTTTGTTAATAAATTATTATACTCACAGACTATTTTGATGTGAAGAAAAGAAATTAAAATACTACCAGTAAGTGGGAAAAATTATATGAGTTGAATAGCTTAAAATGAATACTTAAATGATAAATACACTTTAGTGATACAGGCCGATAAAAAATTTGTGAGTCGGGGGCTGGCAAAAATGGGGAATGGACTAGAAAAACCATCATCTAATACTTGCTTTCGCATAGAGTTTTCCTAGTCTATTTCAATATTAATATTTCATTATCGCTACATAACGCAAATTTTATTTTTGGAGAAAACTGATCAACCAGCTTGTGGAGAGAGAGGTCGACCCTTTTACACGCTCGTCGGTCCGGCTAATAGGTCAGGGACAGCCTGTATCACTAATACACTCTTTACGGGAATGTATTCATAAAGTTACAGTATCTTAGTCAGATAAACTCATGAATTATAATTATGTCAATTTTAGCAGAAAGCGCAATTCATGATTTTATTTAACTCATACAATTTAAGGTAGCGAGGCGCTGATATCATCCTCGCACGAATTAATCATACTCTGTGGCTGCAATAGCAGTGCAAGGCCTTATAAAATTTTTTGATGGATGACAGTTCAAGAACTTTACATGATGATTAGGACCTTAACTGCAATAGTGGCTGCAATGGCAGTGCAAAGACCTTATATTATAATTAGGCTCCACAGCTACAATAATAGTGCAAGAACCTCATGTTGATGAACAAACTATCTCAATTTTTAGTAAAGAAAATTTTAGTAAACATTGATATATTAAACGCAAATGTTTTTTTTTGATAAAAATAGCTAATTAGACCAATAAAGTTAGCATAAAACTTCATTTGTACTTGACTAGACTATGAAGTGTGTCATTTACTATTTTTTTTTTTTTTTTTTGACATTTCTTATTGTAAATCATATCATATAAATAAATTCTACCCCATATTCTCGTGAAAAAATGGGAGATGTTATTCATACGATTTTACAATAAGAAATGCAAAAAAAATAGTAGATGACACACTTCATAGTCTAGTCAAATACTAATATTACACAAATGCGCTACGTAAATTCAATTTCATACTGCATGAAAATCATCTCATATATGCTCTTGTATAAATAAGCCACTAAGCTACAATCAATTACTATTTTTTTTTTTTTTTTTTTTTTTTTTTTTTTACAATCAACTACTATTTTAGTATACTTAATTAAAATATTTACATGATTCAAAAAAAGTCAGTTACTGCTATGAAAATAGAATAGTACTAAAATCTTATACAAATTTAGTAAATTAAAGAAAAAACATATTATTATATAAAATTACCAATTCTATTTGTAAACTATGCAGATACTCTTACACACTGCCTAGCCTTAAAACACCTTATATTGACTATAGCCAATTTTTATCATAATCTTGCGATTTTCTTTACATTTACTAGCTTGCTACTCCTTTAAGGTTAATTTTATTGTAGTAACATAAATAACAAACAGTCAACTATCTTACCCTTAAGCATATCCTGATATTATAAAATAACAAGTAAGTATCATACCAAATTTATATACAGTAACTCACGATAGAATTTATAGAATTCATAATAATTTCAATGAAAACTAACTTAACCTTAACCACACACTATGTGTCGCTGGAATAACCAAGTTTTGCAAAGAATTTTTATAATAACTGATGGTAGAAATCAATAATTCAAATGCATATAAACAAAACCACAATGATCGATAAAAGAAAATGCTGGGGCACCAGTAGTGCCCTAACTAATCTTGTAAATTATAAAATAATGAAAAAAAATAAATTATTTAGGTTAACTTAATAAACATTATATATATTTAAT